TATCCGGCGACCAATACCATCTATGATACATTTTGTAGATGTTTTCCTTATAGCTAATACTTCTCATATATTTTATCGATCTCCATGTTTTTGTCCAATTTTCTACCTTTATACTGTGTCCTATATCTTTTGCCCATGTTTCCATTATCTTGTTAGGTATACCTTCTTGTGACCTTTCATCCAGCAACATCTTATACAGTTTCTGGATCATCTTATCACTGCTTGAAGCCCAAATTTTATCTAGCTGTGATTTGCCATCGTCGAATCCCACTTTCGCGTCTTTGACATATCTAGATTGGAGTTGGGTTATTTCCCACCAGGACAGGTCTATCTTGTGTTGGGATAACAATGCCTCTCTTGATTTTAAGTTGTTATTCTTATCTAACAGCGTGTCATAGCTTTCTCTATCACCGACTTTTATAAGGGATGGTTTAATAAAAGCTTCCAATGGAGATACCCATCTTGGTGTCCTTGTGTAAAACTTTTCTCTAATCTTATTCCAGACCCATATCAGAGCCCCTCTTAGTATATGATGTTTAAAGTTATAATGTATTTTATCTTTGCCATACCACAGGTAGGCATGCCAACCCATCCTGAGATCGTGGCCTTCTAACTTCAAATTTCTAATGTTCTTAAATCCAATCCAGTCCTTAATCCAGCGTAGGGCTGCTGCCTGATAATATAGTTTCCAATCCGGAAGCCCGAAGCCACCTTTTTCCTTACACTCCTGTAGATTTTCCAGTTTAATTCTCGCTCGTTTGGGGTACCATATGTATTTTTTAATTAATTTATCTAAGTCAGAAAAGAAATGTAAATTTCTTAGCACCGGTATATTTTGTGCTAAATATAAGAATTTAGGCAGTATATTCATTTTAATTGATGCAATTCTACCCATTAGGGATATCTGTAGGTCTTTCCAGCTCTGTAAATCCTTTCTAGTGTCTTCCAATAGCTTATCATAATTATCCTTGATGAGTGTAATATTTTTCTCTGAAATTATTATTCCTAAGTATTTGAATTTTTTAACTATTTCCATATCCGTTAATTGTTGTATTTCTTTTATCATATTTGCAGTGCAATTTTTTGTTATTACTTTTGTTTTCCCCTTATTAATCTTCAACCCCGCTACTTCTCCAAATTCTTTAATTCTTTCCAGTAAATGCCCCACAGAGGCATTCCATTATAAACACAATGTCATTATAAACACAATGTCATCAGCATACGCTAATAGTTTAAATACCTCTCCTTGTACTTTAAGTCCTTGTATTAATGGGTCTTTCCTTACTACATCATTTAAAGTTTCCAGGGCAAAAATAAATAATAGTGGGGACAGCGGGCATCCCTGTCTCGTTCCCTTCTGGATTTCTATATCCGATGTCGTCTCCCCATTTATGATCATTCTCGCAGTCTGTTTAGTGTATATAGCCTTTATCATAGTCTCAAAATACTCCCCACAGTCCCAAAATTTTAATTTCTGGAATATAAATTCCCAGGATATATTATCAAATGCCTTTTCGGCATCCATGAACATTAATGCCATGCTTTTCTCCGGGTGTGTTTCATAATATTCTATTACATTTATAATTGTTCGGACATTATTTTTATTTTAATCTGCCTTTTGGGTAGAAATCTTGCCTGATCTTGATGAATGATTTGCGATAGGACTGTTTTTAACCTTGTTGCTAATATATTTGCGTAGATCTTGTAATCCGCATTCAGAAGTGAAATTGGCCTGTAGTTTTTAATATCCTTACTATCTGAATTTGCTTTGTGAATTAGTGTTATCACCGCTTGACACCAAGAATCCGGTACCTTTCCGCCCAACCTAATGCTTTGCAGTAGCTCTTTATACTGTAAACTTATTTGACCCTCAAAAACCTGGTATACCTCTACCGGAATTCCATCATTTCTGGGGTTTTTTTCTTTTTCTGTTTTTTAATGGCTTCAACTATTTCACACATCATAATTGACTCATTGAGCATATTTTTAAATTTTTCTTCAAATTTATATTTTTCTTTTTCTATTATGTATGCCTTCATATAGCTAAGGTTTTGAGGTCCCTGGTTGTACAGTTTCTTATAAAAATTTTCTATGATTAGCTTCATTTCTTTCATACCATACTGCGTCTCTCCCTTTTCATCTTTTAGGGCTAATATGCTACGTTTTTCTCGTTCTTAGTCTGTATGCCAACCATCTTGAAGGTTTGTTTGCATTGTCAAAGTAATAAAGCTTCATATATTCAATGTTTTTTGCAATTTCTTGTGTTAATATTAAATTCATTTCATGGTGTAATAGTCTTAGCCTATTTCTTCCGTCCATCGTTTCTCTTACTTTAAGTTTATCTTCTTCTATTTTAATTGATTTACATAACTTTCCGCACTTCTCTTTCTGTTTCTTCTTCCTCCACGCATCCTGATTTATGAACCAACGCCTTATGTAGGCCTTAAAAGTTTCCCATATTATATTTATCGCTATTTCTCCCTGGTTGTTTCTTTTGAAAAATTCCTTAATTTCCTCTTTTGTTTGCTTCACAGATTCTCGGTCTCTCAATAGTGCTGTATTCAGTCTCCATCTAGTCTTCTTAACCCTAGTTCTTAGTGCTAAAACCATTGGGTTATGATCCGCGAATGTTTGTGGTAGTATTTCTATCTCTGCTGTTTCCAGAATCCAGTTAGTGGGCGCCCAAATCATATCGATTCTGGACCAGCAGTTATGTCTTGCTGAAAAGAAGGTGAAATCTCTTTTCTCCAGATTTCTTGTTCTCCAAAGATCTATTAAATTATATTCCTCTGCTAGGTCTAAGAAAATTTTGGGTAGCATCTGGCTCTTACTTTTTTTCTTTCTAGTTGTTCTTTTATCCCATTCATGGTCAAAGACTGCATTAAAATCTCCCAATATGCATATATCTTTGATTTTTTGTTTTTTAAGAAACTCATAGAGTGCTTTATAAAACGGCTCCTAATTCTGGTTGGGCGCGTATATGTTTACAATTAATGTCTCTTTCTCCTGCCTCCTTATTTTTACCACCACCCATCTACCATCCTCTGAAGCATGTACCAACTCTGGAGCATATTGCTCTTTTACATATGTTACCACTCCATTTTTTTTCTTAATGTCTGTTGCAATAAATTCTTTGCCTAATCTCTTACATTTTAGAAACTTTTCCTCGTTTCTTTTTATATGGCTCTCTTGAATACATATCACATCTGCATGTATTTTATGGATTTGATGGAAAATTTTACATCTCTTTTGTGGTCCATTAAGACCATTTACATTTAAAGATAGAATTTTAAAATTTAAAAACATTTCGTGCAGCCATCTGCCTTTTTAAATTTATTTATTGCTTTTTAATCTATTTTTTTGCTTGTTGTGTCCTGTTCTTGTATCTAAATCTGTCAAAATGTGAGAAACCGCTGGTCTTGTATTCCTTTTTCCTCTTTTCGGTGTCTTTCCCCTTAGTTCTTATCCGTCTCTCTCTTTTTCCATCCCTTTATCTTCCTCTTCCTGTCTCGCATCTTCTTCACTTTCTTCCTCTTCTTCTTCATCTCCGTCGTCTTCTTCTTCTCTACGCTAAAAACCCTTTGCCAGCCCAACTCTTCTCCGTAGGATTCCAGAAAGTTCCCTATCTTAAACACAGAGTCAATCTTCTGCCTTCTGCTTGCATAGTTGAAAAGTATCCCTTGGGGATTAACCATCTAAAGGTTATTGAGTTTTTATTTAATAGATTCACAAGTGTTCTGTAAGCCTGTCTCTTTTCTCTGACCCTCCAAGGGGTCTCTTTTAGAAATTTCATTTCATTTCCTTGTATGAAAACTTTCTTCTCATTAGCAGCCCTAAGAATCTTCTCTCTCCACCCTCTTTTATAGAATTTAATGTGTGTCTCCCTTGGGGTCTTATTTCTTCGTGCGTAGGCAGAGTTCCTTCTATATACCGCCTCTGTTTCATTTACTATTTCATCTTTTGTCCCTACTTCCAACTGCTCTGCCAAGTTTTCCGCTATCATTTCTTTTAAGTCTATTTCCATTTTCTCTGGAATATTCTGGCATCTCAAAATTAACATTGCTTTTTCCATTTCCAACGAGATCACCGTTTCCTCCATTTTATCAGATTTGAGCTTCATTTGCTGCATTTCATATTCCAAGTCATTAAGCTGTTTTTCTGTTTTGTAGCTTTGGGTTGAAATTTTTTGAATTTCTTGCCTATTTTCGTTTATTTGTCTTTTAAGCTCTTGTGTCTCTGCCTTGACGTGTTCTGTTAGTAAATCTATTTTCTCATGTATTGGGTCTATTTCTCTTCTCATTGTTTCTTGCATCAACGTTATTAAATCTTTTGTTGTCAGTTGTGTTATGTTTACTGGGCTTGGTTTTAACAGGTATGTACCTATATTACTTGGGGGTGTTAGGGATGCCTTTCTGTTACCTGATGCCATGACCTTTTAGTTGTCTCAAGCAGTTTCTATCCTAACTAGTCAGTCTGCTTTCACCCTCTTTTCAGATCTTATACTAGGTTTTTGTATCAAGTTCCCACTCCGCTCTAATTCCTATTCCTAATTCTCTCAGTCTTAATTTTCTGTCAAAATTTTCTACTGTTCTCTCCCCTACAATACCTGATTACGCTTTAGTTGATTTACTTTGTATTTTAAAAGACTTTCTCTGTTGCTTTCCTATCCTAGTCACTGTCCCCCCTTTTCACTTTAAATGTCTGCTTCCAGTTCCTTATCTTTCTATTTCCGCTTATGCCACCGTGTCTCCTCTTCTCTCTCGTGCCGTTCTGTTCCTTTTTAGTCTTTCACTGTTCACTGTCACTGTCTCTGCGTGCGTCTAGCCTTCGTTCTTTCCGTCCTTATTTTCAGCTCCTTGCGTGTTGCCGTCTCTGAGCGCCGCTCCCGTCAGCAAAGAACCGCCTCTCTGTTCTTCCCCTCGTCGCAACGTCACCACGTCTGCTGGCGTTTCTTCCGCTCCTTCGTTGGCTCCGCCTTCCCCCTCTGCTGATCTCCACACCGATAGCAATGGCGGCGTTAAAGGGACCCAGGCTCTCTTCAGACCGGAGCCGCTTCAACTGGAAAAAAAAACAAGGACAAACCCAATGATTCAAGTGCGTTTTAAAATTTTACCACAAATGCTCACTTCTGGCCTTCTTTATTCACCTTTTCCCGTGTTTCTCATAGCCCCTCTACTCTTTCACAGTTTCCTCTAAGCGGCCATTTAAACGGGGCATTCTTTCCCCGCTTTCCTTCTGGCTTTACCTATTTCTCCTTTGCTCCACCCGTTAATTCCCCCCTCAGTTACTGTAAGAGATATGTTTCAGTTTTATACTTAGCTTTAAGTTTCCTTTCCTTCTGTAGCGTTCCCTCTGCGACTCCACCCGTTCGCTCCATCCCACTTGCGCTCGGCGTCCCCGAGCCTCGTATTGCCGCCCGCTTCAGGGTTGAGGCTTACACTTTTCAGGTTTTGCCGACCCCTCCAAATGTAGCCCAAGACACCCCTTGCCGAGCTCTCTCTTCTTGAGAGCTGTTTGAAACGATCATAAACGTTTAGATGGCAAGAAAGTTTGTTGTTTGAAGAGTGCTGCTCTCTGCAGCTCCTTCCCTCGCGGTAACCGGAACCAGAACCGTGGACTGAGGTGTTGAAACAGTGCCGGAACAGGCTGAGCCAAGAGGTCCTCGCAGTATGTGGCGGCCTTGCATCCGCTGCCATGGTTGCTGCGTCCCGGGTCTGAGCCAATCGGAACCTGTGGTGCTGCCAGGACTGCAGGGGCTGCTTAACTCAGCTTGGCCCTGGCTCCTAGCAACTCACCAGGGGGCTATGGCATCTCAGGAAAGCTCCTGGATAAGTGACTGGGTCCCTCTCTGAAGTGAAAGGTCTGCCTCTGTTGAAACTGACTGTGAGAAGGGACACAATGAGAGCATCAGGAGGGTTGCCAGCTCTGGCCTGGGAATTCCTGGAGATTTGGGGGTTGGAGTGGGGTTTGAGGAGGGGCCTCAGCAAGGCTGTAGTGCCATCGAGTCCACCGTCCAAGGCAGATTGTTTTCTCCAGGAGGATTGATCTCTGTTGATTGAGATCAGCTGTAATGTCTTGGTATCTCCTGGCCTCACCTGGAGGATGGCAACCTTAGGCAGCAGAGGAATGCTTAGTCTCTTGGTGCTTCTTCTCACAGCTGTCTTGTATTCCCTTTTCTGGCTTATGCTACTGTAGCGGGAATTCTGAGAGACAGACCACCAGGGAGTCAGCAAGGAGAATCAACAGTTATTTATATAAGAGCGCGGTACAGCCGAAAGCACCTCTCAGGGCACTTTCAAAACAGGGCATGTACACCGAATGCAGGGAGGGACTGACTTATATAGTCCACAGAGTACAGAAAAAAATATTTTCCTGGTTATTTCTTATAACATTAGCATGCAAGATGATTACAGACATTGACCATGAAGTCTGAAGCATTGTGTTCTTTTTCAGAACCACAAACATCCTTGGAAGGTCTCATGTCCCTTGTGGGTAAGCTACGAGATTTCCCGTTATCAGCCAGGTGTTAACTTTCTTCATGACAGAATAACAAGCAGAGTTCAGCACATCCTTAGTAACAGCCTGGCAATGCGTAATATGGCCATGCAATCTTGTGTGTTCCGCAAAGGCTCTATTTCTCGTCTCTGGTTCTCCTATTTGCAAAAGCTATGTTCCCGTAACGGTTTGCAAAAGCAAATGTGTTTCCCTAATGGAATGGCCTTATAATGCAAGCAAATTGCAGGTAAATTGCAGGTAAATGCTTCACTCCCCCCTGTATGGACCCCGACCTTATAATGCAAGCAAATTGCAGTTAAATTGCAGGTAAATGCTTCACTCCCCCTGTATGGACCCCGACCCAAAGGGGAGGGCGTCCGATCTATAATTCGGTGCAGTCTACAGCAAGGTGAGAACAAGCCAAGTGCGTTTTGTCTTGGGGACAGGCTTACCAGGGGTCCAGTACCATTTACCCCTTAAACCGTTCAATCTGTGGCAGTAGACCTGCTGGCGCTCAGGAGCACATAAAAACATGAGCTTAACAGGAACTGTATCAGGGGGCATGATAGCCTGCACTGCTCGGTTAACCATGCCTCGGATGACAGGGATGAGGTAAGGAAGGAGCAGTAGCGCCCCAAAAGCCAGAGCAATAAGAAACAGAATACGCTTCAAGTCCCCAAACATCCCAGCAAACCAACCTTCAGTTTCCAGAATTCCAGACCATGTTTCCAGAATTCCAGACAGAATAACAAGCAGAGTTCAGCACATCCTTTGTAACAGCCTGGCAATGCGTAATATGGTCATGCAATCTTGTGTGCTCCGCAAAGGCTCTATTTCTCATCTCTGGTTCTCCTATTTGCAAAAGCCATGTTCCCTTAATGATTTGCAAAAGCAAATGTGTTTCCCTAATGGAATGGCCTTATAATGCAAGCAAATTGCAGGTAAATGCTTCACTACTGTTTAGTTTTCTTGTGTTGGGTTTTTTTAAAAATGCTGTCAATGGGCTTCCAAAAAGGGGAATTACTGTTTGGGGGTGCTTATTAACGTAACGCAGGGGTCCCCGACCTTTCTGAGCCTGCAGACACATTTGGAATTCTGACACAGTGTGGTGGGCGCAGCAACAGAACGGTTGCCACAAAATGGCTGCCACAGGAGGCGGGGCCAGACACAAAATAATTGCCACAGTGTAACTTCAGTGACGTAGTGCAGCAGGTCCTCGTGCTGAGGAGGCTGTCGCCACCAAAGTAATGTTTGTTTTTTTAAAATCTGCATAGCCAATCAGAAGCCTTGTTGGGCAGAAGCCCTACTGGGCCCGGCCCACTTGTTAACACTAAAAACATTTGGTGGGTGCCAGAGACGGTGTAGGCAGGCTCCATGGTGCCCACAGGCACGATGTTGGGGACTCCTGGTAGGCCTTTGCATAAAGAAGGTCCTGGAGCCAATCCCTGGCCCCTCTCAGGAGCAAAGGGTAGCTAGCGCTGGGATTCTCTGCAAAGGGAAGATTGGCTGCCCCATCTGCCCTGACTGAGATGGATCAATGCTCTGGCTTGGGGAGGAATTGGCTTCGGCTTCTTTTCATCTGATAATCCCCAGCTACAATTTTCCTGCAGGTGCTGAGCTGGTGGAAAAGAAGGTGTCAAGCACAAAGCTCGAGGCAGCTCTTGGTGATGTAAGTGTATCTCTGTGCCCTGCTTAGCTCTACAGTCTTTATATACAAGATTCACCTCCTCCAGAAAAGCACTTTAGAGAGCAACCAACAAGATTTTTTTTTTGGGGGGGTAATAAGCTTTCAAGAGTCACGGCTCCCTTGGTCATATTTGACTCTCAAAAACTTAGTAAAAGGTAAAGGTTTCCCTTGCTTGAAAGCCAGTCAAATCCGACTCTAGGCTCATCTCCGTTTCCAAGCTGAAGAGCCAGCGCTGTCACATGTGGCCGGCATGACTAGATGCCGAGGCGCATGGAACGCTGTTACCTTCCCACCAAAGCGGTACCTATTTATCTACTTGCAATTTCTTGCTTTCAAACTGCTAGGTTGGCAGGAGCTGGAACCAGAGACGGGAGCTCACTCCATCATGCGGCACTCG